AGTTAAACCCTGTTAAGTTTCCTGTCAAATTAAATAGTCAGTGATGTTTAATACAAGAACTGCTCCAGATTTCCAATGTGAAAACAAAGGATAGACCACTATAAAATTTTATATTTAAAGGCAAATCTGCAAATAAGTACCATAAGCTAACCTCTCAGAAAACGCAGGGTTACAGAGTCATTTCAATGCTGCATGATCATAAGTGAAAAGAAATTTTCTCATTACTGCAAGAAAAGCTGTAGTATTTAACAAGTGTTCATTATAAATTGACCAAACACATAAAGTGGAATCCCCATGATACTTGATATTTGTTTTAATGCAAATATATTGCTGTATCAAGTGTTGCTGCATCCTCTTTACTTCTTACAAGAAAAAAAATCTTGAGGTTTAACAGCCCAGAGTCCTTATACTCTACCATAAACCTTTGCTTGGTAGACTTTTGAGGGGAAATGTGGTTTGTAAGATTGATTCATTAGCATTTGCCTCCAGTAACAGGCTAATGAAAAGAACTCAATTATGCATAGATCTGCGAAGAACTCAAATATTTCTACTGCTACAATGGTAAATAAGGTTGGATGGTATCAGTAAGGAAGAGCATTTTAGAGTTCTGGGCTGCCTGTTATCAGACTTTTGCTCTTAACTCAGGTGGGAGGTCAATATGGTCACTCAAGGAAAATATTTCACCTGGTATACATTCGTTCAACATGCTTCAATTTATTTTCAGATCCTGTTTTTCTTAGGGATTTTAATTTAGGAGTGAATAGATGATTTATAATTACAAGAATCACTTAATCACATTCTAAGTTTCTACCTCATTCTTACTCAGTTGTATTTAGGAGGTTCCATTATAACCCTATGTCTCTGCTACATTGATCTGTGGTTATGTTTTATGCCTTCTTGTTAAATAAGCTTTGAAATGAACAAAGGAAGCATAGTTCCCCACACAGGACATAAACCTGTGGAACTCATTGTCATGAGGTGCTGTGGATGTCAAAAGTATAAATGCTTGCAAAGACAGTTACACAAATCATGGATGAAAAGTGTGCTGAGGACTGTTATTCAAAAGATGCAGCAACAGCTTTCTCCTCGGGAAATACCTGCACTACAGTTTCTCCAAAACAAGGGCATTTATCAAAGGAAGCACTACTCCATATGGAGTCTTTTCTTATCATCTTTTTCTAGAGATGGCTCCTATCAAAGACGAGATTCTGGGCTGAAGGGTAATTTAGTCTGCTCCAGACACAGCAATTTTTCTTGTTGTTCCTAAACTGCCTATGTGATCTAGCACTACAGCCCCATTTGAATGACTGTAGCTCAAAGGTAATTGCTCTTCCAGAGCAACTTAAGTAGGTGCCTTACCCAAGAAACCCTCTTCATCAATCAACAAAATTAGACATCTGCTTGATGTCCTCTGCTTATCCTTGCTTAGGCTTTATACCTTCTATTAAATGAGCACCAAGTATGGCAGAAATGTAAAGCACGAAATCAAAACATTTTCTGACACACAGACAATAAAACTGTGATTGTGCTCTCTCCTAGTTCACTGAAAAGCTCATATGCTAAGGTGTGCTACAGAGATGTGTAAGTTGTGCTTCTCACATAAAACATGGGTTTGGAAACTAAGTAGGAACAGATTTGGACTTGCAGAAAGCTCCTGTGATTTCAGGGAGTCTCTGTGTGACTGCAATCACCCTCCCAGAGAATATCTGGGAAAGGCATTGAAAAAGCTTTTCTTACAGTCAGTCATCTGGGTCTCAGCAACCATGCCTGTCCCGGCATGTCAGCGTGGAAAGGTCCTTCCTTTTGTACTAGGGAGAAGGAATGAGTTGCAGTTGCTGACTGGCTTCCCTTTCCCAGAAAAATAAGCTACTAAATTAAAACACCACACTTCTCAGTGGCAAACCAGTCTTCCAGTCCAGAATTACCACGGTTTTCAACACATAGTAACATAATGGAAGAAATAAATTTCTGCAGTTCCCAGCTACAGTGACCCTTTTTTTCTAAAAATATTCATGATATTATTATTAGAAATTAGAATTTTATGGCACTGATACCTGTTCAAAACACTAAAATGACTTCATATTGCACAGCTTTTTTTGTATTACTCATTTTTCATACTAATTTTATGATACGTCAGTTTAATTAATATTTTCCACTGCCACATTTTATTTGGTAATTTTAACATATTTCTCTCACACCCTGTCTTCTCTAAGGGCAATTTAGAGCATAAGAACTTGACAGAAAAGAAAAAAAATCTATTAATAAATTGAGCAAGACACATAAGAAAGAAAATGTATTTTGTATCAGAATAAAAGTAAGCAGTGTATTTTGGGTCAATCACTGTCAGTTAAACAGCTATAAAAACTGTTATTTCTCACAGGCCTGACAGAAACCTGGATATAAATGTTTTAATACCTAAATGTCCATTATAAATTCAAAGCTATGGAGCAAACCTCCTTTTAAGAACCTCACATATTTTATTACAATGTCATTCCCCTTATTTTGGCTTAGACACAATATTTACTTAGTCAGAACATTTGCTTAAATATTAAGTAGAAAATCTACCTAAAGCAGTATTAATAAAAGATGTTTCAAGATATTAACTTTGTAAATGGTTGTAATGAATCTTTGTAGCCAGGAAACTCAGTCTACCCAGAACACAGTAAATTATCTTTGTTTCATTAAAGCACTATTTGTGGGAAAGCTCACTTAATTTAAAACAGTGCTGCTTCAGATATGGAACTCCTGAACTTCTTCGCTGGAGACAACTGGACTTTGGAATTTAATATGAAGCTTCTTATCAGCCCTCAAAGTGACAACATCATCTACGTATTATTTATATTTCTAAATGCTTCTCAGGATTAAGTAATTATTTAGTAGGTAAAAAAATTGGTTGATTTCTTTAGTTCTGGATGAGTGATTCCATGACAGTTCATTTAAGAATGAACTACATTTAGTGAGGTACTGGCTTTTAAAAGTGGCCATATACCTTTAAAGCAATCTTTAAAATACAGTCCTCCCAGTAGCCAAAGGAACAGGAACATAATTTAATTTTCTCTGTTCTAATCTTGAGGCTCTTTCTCATACTGCAAAATGGTAAATAAATGTCAACTCAAGAAGCAGCAGCAATTTATATTCTTGAACACTAGAAAGTCAGTTCCAAGCTCTTAGATTTATTTTGCTTTTACATCTCTTAGATCATACCGCCTTGTTGGTATTTTTAGGGTTGAAAAATAGTTCCCAAGGGTCTAAGTTCTTTGTATCATATTAACATTGTGTACCATTCACTCCTCGATTTTTTTTTTCTTGTTAAGGATTCCATATTTATTCTGAGCATTAAACATAGAAGTATATTTCAGTTATGAGTCATAAATTATTGACAACTAAGAGGTATTCAAACCTTGTTTAAAGTAATTTTTTTTCTATCTGACACTAAAATTACTGCCATTAAAGTCAACTTAATTTTGAAAGTTTAAAATAGATCAATATTTCCCTTTTAAAACACAGGGACAATTTTAAACAAGTTGTACAAGAATATAACGCACATTTTTCTACTCTGAGATAACTGTTCTACATCCAACAAGTAAAAGCATGTCTCTTGGGTAGTAGCATAGTGAAGAGGATTTTGCCAGCCTCCCTAGTCTTACTCTGCATGAAGCCCAATTACCCTTGCTGGAAATAAATACACAAAGGTTCACTTTCACTGAACATGAGTTTGTCTATAGTTACCACCAACTGAAATTAGAAACCAGTTTAGGCTGGTTGCCTGGAAATCTTGCTTTTGTTTTCTATGACATTAAGAGATCATATGATCTCTTGGATATCACTCTTGGATATCATCTCTTGTATTTTAATAAAACTATTAGAAAGAAAAGCAGACAAATTCCCAGTTCTGTATGTCTTCATACACAACTGCTGTACACCCTAGGAACCCTTATTTTGTTAAACTACCACCTTCTCTTTTTAAGCAGTGGCCTCCAGAAGGTGATCTTTCAACCACAGGTGATCCTCAGAGTCTGATGGGGAGTTTGTAGCTGTCTCGTGTACTGCCTTAATTTGTGTTTCACTTGAAATTGTGAGGAGAATGCATGTATGGGTGCCTGGAGGTTTTTGACCAGCCTTGGACTTTGCTTAGAGTATTTGGGTACCTCTGTTGAGGACATCTAGACGGTACTAATGAAAGCCTTCTTTACATTGTCACTAATATTTGTCAAAGTAACTCAGGTCAGTTTGCAAGGAAAAGAAAGTTTTGCCATTGACTGAAAGCTTCATTTTCTCCTCCAATAATGAGGTAATAAAGATTGAACTCCATCTTTACAATTAATAACAGATATCTGCACTATCACAGCACTGTACTTTAGCATCCTGAGGCCATCAAGAGCCCTGACTGTCCCCGCCCAGCTCTGCTCATGGCTCCCCCCACCCTGCCCATGCCCCAGGACCCTGTTCCAGCCCCCTGAGGCCATCTGTCCCTGTCCCAGAAATGCTGTGGCAGGGCCAGTCTCCATAGCCAACCTCAATCTCAGCTCACCCATGATTCTTGAGGCTGGGGCTGCCTCAGTGCCCCCCCAGCTTTCCTGCTCCTGACTGGGTGGGACAGGCTCTGGATGGTGAAGACCCTGGTGAACTAGCCTGCATGGGCTACCCTGTGGTCCCTGCTCCCCCTCCACAGGGCTCCATCCCTCAAAGTCAGCTTTACTGTACCGTGAGTTCACTAGAATAAAATAAGGTGTTTCCAGTCCTGTTTTTCTTTTTTCTTCACCCTCTCTTTCCAAATCTTCATGTTTTGCAGAATGCAACAACCTGTAAGTGTTTGGCAGCTCTGGCCATCAAAAGTGCATCGCTCCCATCCCTACTCTCAGTGCTGGCTCTCAGCTGAATACAATTGAAGCTCAATGTTTCAGTTCTGATCTTTAAAGGCCAGCATGTGATTGGCCTTGGCAACCTAACGGATGGTCTCAGTCTCCCTGATTATGACCTCTCATGACAACTGCATTCCTCTGGGGAACTGGAAATGTCAGACATCAAAGTAAGACCCATAAGCGTGTCAGACAGTTTTCTCAGCAGCTGGCTTGTGACTAAGAAATTCATTGTGACAGAGATCAGAGTGACCACAAACAAAACTGTAAAGCTCAGATGTTTGATCTAGATTTCCCAACATCATGATAAAAGGAAAAGCATCCATTGACAAGATGATGAAGAGGAACGTTAGGACAGATTCTCAGCTGCTGTGTATTGTTTGGCTAAAGACAAAGGAGAGGAGTATCATTAACCTATTGGTCCTCACATGCGTATTAGTTGCAAGAGAAAGTTGTGCTGGAAGATCTGTCTGTTAGAAAATGATTATTTGATGAAATTGAAGGTGTTTACCAGAGCAATTTTTAAAGGTAGCAGAAGTAGCATGTTCCGGTAGTGTTATTATATTTTATTTTGACCTTGTGAAACATTTTTAGATCAAAAAAGTCAAATTGTGCAATGTTTCATGCTAATTTAGGGTATTGTAATGGTTAAACCACATCAACTAGTGCATTATGTCAAGTCAAAGTAATATAATAGAATATGACACTTTCTGTCACAACATAATCTTTCCCAGCATTTTTGTAGGTATTCTATTATTGACATCACATTCCTAAAATAAAATAAATTTGAAGTAATATTTTAATTGTTCTATCACAATATAAGTATTTCAATTTCTAATCCAATTACTAATATAACTATTTTATCAATTGCTTACAGTCAAAATAAAAATTTCACCATTTGCAGCAGACTGGAATTTTCAAATTCTCCAACTTTTCTCACACTTTATTATGATGCTTAGATGACCAAATTCTTCAAAAGTAACTATAACACAATATGGTAGAAAAATCAAACTACATACATCATCCTTTATTTGCATCATAAATAGTTTTATTTATTTTGAATGACTGCCAGTGTCCAATCTTCAAAGATGTTCAGATGTTAACAAATATTTATAAAAGCAAACAAACCGTGAATATATTCTGCTCACACAGTAATTTAACAGTTTTCCCTCTGTAGTTTAAAGACATATGTCTCTCAATTTTCTCCCTTTACAACATGCAGATGATGAAAAATAGCCTTATCACCCTAAGTGATTTTAGATATTAATCATTAAGTCTGTATTTATTATGCATAGGATCCATTAAGGAGGATTTGTCTCTGTGGTAAAGGCCTGGGTTTTGTAGGGGTTGCAAGAACATCTGTGCAGTCATCCTGATACTCCCTTTACAGTGTCACACAAGCCTGCGTGGTGGAATTTCGTTAAGCTCTAGGCATTTCAAACAAGGCCTGCAATAGTGGGTAAGTGATGTATATAAAAGCTTTGTCTGATCCATTGTCATTTACAGCAGTGAAGTTGTTCTTAATGCTTACCATGAATTAGGGAACACCACAGAGAGTCACATTCTTAGATTCTGGTTAATCAAAAGACTGTTGAAGTGAATGGCTCAAAGCACATAATGAGCTAGATTTGCAATTGAAGTCAACGTAAGAAGTTCAGAAAAGACATCAAAGGCAGGAGCTAATGGGTGTTGTAGGAAGAAATTTACCTGTTCTCTGAGACTTTATCACCAGTTTCACTCATAGGCAAAATTGATGAAGTTATACTCTGCACAGTGTAATACCCAAAGATGTTACATATAAATCCATGTTTTCCAAGCCCTAGTATCCTTAGAGAGAGCAGAGGACATTCACAGCTTTAGTGCTATGTGACCTTATACAGACTTAGGCAATATCTCAGGGACACCTAGTTTAAGATACGGAGCTTCTTGCAGACCCTGGTTGGGGAACAGATTCCAAAAATTTATTCAGATAGAGAAATGTCTTTTTGAATCAGAGTATAAGAATCAGAGAAACACAGAAGAGGGAGAAACCTCCTGGATCAGCAAACAGTAACCTGCTATCATATCAGCCAATTCTTTCTTAAATATAATCTCTCTAAAAACAAAGATACAATAACCACCTGATACAAGTGTACATCAAGAAAAGAATAGTAATTTTAAGAGCATAATTTGAAAATTTAATAATGACCTATAATCTGTTATACTGTGAATATCTTGACACTGGTAATAAAATTAAGGTCTTAACAGGATCTTTTTAAGAAAGAACAAAAAACCTTAAAGACAACACCTTGGATTGTTTCCAGGATGAGACTTAAAGCTGCTAAACTGACAAACAAGTATTTTCCTTTATGTGTTTTGCCGATTATAAGAAACAGGTGAAAGCTTAGTAACACATGGAAATATTTTTTCTTGTACAGATTACTTCCATAGGAAGAACAGTCAGGACATAAATTAATGATTAGCTCAGCTGGTTAGAGCATGGTCCTAATTACACCAAGGTCATGGGTTCGATTCCCAAACTGACCATTCACTGAAGAGCTGGACTTGGTGATCCTTGTGGGTACCTTCCAACTCAGTATATTCTGTGATTCTGTAATCATGTGAAAAACTTTCTTCACCTACCTGCTTGCATCTTGAAAACCCATGAAAGTATTCAAAGAAATACTCTTCCTGTAGATAGAGGAAAACATTCTCATTGACTTTTCTGGAAGCATGTCAAAAACATGAGTGATATCTCCAAGAGCTTTTTAGTGATAAAGTCTGTTCCTTTCCTATGGCTGCAGCACACACGATAAGAATAATCTCAATCTTAAACTATACACTTGAGGGCTTGGGCTGTTTGAGGCTTTTGGGTGAAAATTCAGATGGTAAGGAAAAGACAAGAAGCAGATGCTCTGTTACTTAAAAGCTTTCCCAGAGCCCTAAAGATCAGAGAGCAATGTTTGGTGCTTTGGGCTACATGGGACTTGTTCAGGCCCCATGGCTTCTTCACTTTGGTAAGAGTTTCTGAAATACCTGGAAAAGATTCTTTGTAACTTGTTTCTTACAAAGCTCTAGTTACATATGAGATCAATATTTATAAAAACTGAAAATAAAGATAAGAAAAAAAGTGTCAGGTTCTTATGTGGACAGAAGACTGACTTCAATAAACAAAATTTTTTGGAGGGTGCAAGGACTAGTGTTAAGATATGTACTTCCTGCTATTCCATTTCTCCCTAAGGGATTTCGGTGCGGTTTTTTGGGTTTGAGTTTTTTTGGGGTTTTTTGGGGTTTTTTTTGGGGGGGAGGGTTGAGAGGGGCAAAGGTTAGGTATTTTTTGTTCTGTTTAGCTAACAAAGCTGGTAAAAAAGGAGAAGACAACATCAACTTAGGTACAAGGAGGGACCATACACCTCACAGCTTCGCTCATTGCTTATTGCTGACTTTGTCCTACATCTGTAAGTTTAACTACTTAACAGACAAAACAACTTCACAGATTTTCCCAGTTGTGAGGTAGTCTTTTGTTCTGGGGGTTTACTCCACAATTCGTCTGTTCAGTGGTTTTCCTACCAACACTGAGTTCTTCTATAACAACAATAAATATCTATGAATACACTTATCCCAAGAGATCATTACTAGGATCACTCGGAATGTTTTTATCAGTACAATGTATCTTCTAGTTATTAAAACTAAAGAAAAAATTATGTGTCTTATCACTGTAATCACTGGTTTCTTATGGAAAAAGGTCTGGTTTATGAAGTGCCTCAGTAATCTAAAATCTAGAAGACTGCTATCTAAAATCTGTGATCAGTAATCTTTCTAAAGAGGAGAAATAAAGAAGAAAAAAACTAAGATGGAAACCAGTGATGTCATTCAATTTAGCAGTTTGAGATACTCACAGACATAACCAGACAACAACAGCATAAAAACTAAGACCAGGAAAGTTCCTCCCACTTGATCAACTTTCACAGCTACCTCCTTTACGTGTGACAGACTTGTGGTTTTTCTCGGTAATGTTACTATCTCAGTTATACTTAAGACTCTTTCCCTGAAAAATTCATAGTATAATTAGAAATAAGAAGCAAAAATAATTACAGAATTACTATTAATGCATTATATCAGAGAAAGGGAAAATATGCAGAAGGGGAAACAAGCGTTTTACAGTGAAATTTTAAAAATTTAAGACTGAAAATTATCAAACACTTAAAAATCTGTAGGATACAGATTTTAGATATTTTAGTATTTATTTAGGTGCACTAAGTATACAGAAGTATCTCGGTAGCTCTGCAATAACTTAGCACCTATTTCAAACCCTAATCCATGCTGTGGATTTTGAGGTTTGCTTTCTCACTGTATATTCTGAAAGGACTGACCAACAGATGTGCTTTAAAGATTTCTGTTTCTTGCTCACAAGAACAAATTCTTAAATATAGAAAAACCACAATGGTCATTATTTTTCAAAAAGCTATGGTGGTGTCATCATCCCATGAAGATGGTTTTGTTGTTCTCAGATTGTCCTTTAAAGACTGGGGTCAAAATTGTCCCTTTGGGGAAGGAGATTCTCGGCACCCAGGTAAGCAAATTGTTCCTGACCACAAGATATAGCAGGCAAAGCAGGAAAAGTCACAGCAATTAGATGTCTGAAATATAAGAAATTCTGAAAAAACTGCGGTGAGGAGGGTACACTTCCTTCAATGAAATCCTCAGATTTGATTCAGTTAGAAGTCTGAACTTCATATTCAGCAGCTAGACATGCATTGAGGCTATGAGGTGTTAGAATACTTCCAGGTGTGAAAACCACTACAGTTCCACAGTGAGTCTGTGGCACCTCCACCTTCGGAGGTATTGAAACCCCCATTGGACAGAGCCCTGGGCAGCCTGCTCCAGGCTGCCCTGCTGGAGCAGAAGGGTTGGAGACAGCAACCTCCAGCTGCCCCTGCCAACAGCAGCCGTTCTGTGTCCCTGCAGCCTCAGTCAACGCCTGCTGCATGGCATGGCAAGGGCCTGGCCAGGGAACTGGGAGCCACTGCTCCAGGAGCCACAGGGCAGAGCCAAGCAGCCGGTGCCCATTGCACCCTGGCAGAGCAGTCAGGGCAGATGGGGGCAGCAGGGCTGGAGACAGGGACAGGCTGAGGCCAGGCCCATGGCTGAGGGCCAGCAGTCTTAACAGGCAGACCTTGTTAAGACCCACTGGGCTGGGGGTCAACCCGGGCCATGGCTACCTCATGATGCCTGGGAGTGTCTCCCAGGGCCACAGCAGGGAAGGGGCTGCCCTCAGCAGCACCAGCTCTGAGCTGGGCCTAACTCCCGGCAGTCAAAACTCCCTCTACCCGTGAGATGAGGGAGGTCTCCTGTTGCAGCCTGGGATGGCAGTACAAGCAGTAATAAAGCTATACTTTCATTCTCCTAGTAGCTAAGTGCCACTAAATCTGGTATTACGCTGCTCAATGCCCATCCCTCCAGTGTCTGAGAAACTGCAGATCTCAGCCAAGAACAGTAATGGGAATTCACTGGCAATACAACTCCTCTGTGGAAATGAACAAAAGAGATGTGCTGAAAGGGGGTGAGAGACAGTTCAAGGGTATTATTGTACTCGACTGGCAGGTCAGGCTGAGACAGAGGAGTCCCTTAAGTAAAAAAAAAAACAAAACATGAAGTGTTTCTTTTCAGTGATAAAGGGCATTTGAATGAGTTGCTTGGGGACACTGAGTGGGCCTGCCTATAGACCATTTGGGAAAGGGTAACTGTGGTGAAATGAATTCAAATCACTGTGCTTTATGCTCAAAGGTCATAGAAGTCAATGCCATGGCTTGGAACAGGACTGCAGTTTCTGACCAGAGAAATCATTTCGTCATGGAGCTTACTAAGCTTCGAAGAGCACCTACATAATATGAAATGTTAAATTGATATGTATAATGTCAAATCGTAACAGTGGGCTACACTTACCCATTCCAGGCCTATATTTTTTACTTTTTCCTTTGGAGAATACTGGCTGCAAAAATAAACAAATAGCAGCAACTAACAGATTTATACACATTTGAAGTGGTTGCATAGCAACAACTTCAGAGCTATCTTCCTCCTTCTTGTAAATTTATTATTGTCAGAGTGACTGGTGGGATTAATTACCTGTTTTGCTACCTTTTGTCTCTCATGTGCTTTAGAATTCATATCTGGAAAAAATGGGATTTTTCAAAAAGTATTTTCAATTTCTTTAAAAAATAAAAACCTCTTATCATACTAAATACAAAGTAAAACACATATGAGATGCAGAGGCTACAGCCATTGCTCTCTGTTGGTGATTGTAACAGCCAAGTGGAACATAAAAGGCTTATCTCCAGTACCTGCCATAAACCTGTGTATGAATTTTCCAAATCAGAGGTAATAAATTCGATGGACTATTGAATAAGGAAAATTAGGGATATAATTTCCCACAAATTGATGTGTATGCTACTCTTTATTGATTACATTATTACGCTATTGTATTTCTGAGTAATATGGAACAGATGTCTCTCACTAAGACTTTCAGCTGAGAAAGCAGCCTATCAAAACTGGGAAACAGATTCTATTAATAACTTCAATTTCAACAACCTTACAGTTTTTGTAGAAAAGTAAGATAATAGGTCATTGAAAATTCTTGTCTACTTATTACTGAAGATTCATTCCCAGGCTATAAGTGATATTAGACTTCAGTAAACAGAGTTTATATGTGCCTTGCATGGAAATTAAGAGTTGGTTTCTTAATTTCTGGTTCAGAACACTGAACAAGTAAAGGACCTGGATCTGTTAGAGTGAGTCCAGAGGAGGGCCACAAAAATGATTAGAGGGCTGGAGCACCTCTGCTATGGAGACTGGCAAGACTCAACTTCACCATTCTTGGGCACTAACATTTGGAAGGGTTTCACTGTACAATGTAGAGATTTCTATATTAGGCTAAGGCTAACATGCTGTTTCTCTATGTTCTTCATGCCATAGGTAATCCTGCGCTCTGTAGACAGCTATCAATGCACAGAGGATTTGACCTTTGGTACTACGTTTCATTGGTTTTAAAATACAACAGACACAGAAATTAATTTTTAATCTTCGTTATCTCTTTATTAAGTGATTTTTTAAAAAATATTGGATGAAATATCTACATAATATGATAATCCATTTATTTTTAAAGACAGAATCAAATATGAATAGAAGCAAAATAAAAAATGAAGGCTGAAGTCATGTTTACAAAAGCATAACATTTCATCTCTCTCCAAGTAATTTTTTTTGTAAGAAGTGTAATTTATTGATGGTTTAAAAAGAGAGCTTTACATATAGAAGTTTGGGGCTATTCCATGAAAGTAAAATATTCCTGATGCAAAGAATCCACAGATATTGTTAGTCTCCTGTTACTGCATTTCATGTTTTCTGCTATGGGTCACTAAAGTATGAAAGACAAACCAATCTCTGTGATTTACCTAGACTATTTCTTCCTACTTTCATAAAATCAACATCATCTGTCCATATCTTGACTCGTCAGCTACTTGATCCTTTGGCTACTCAAAAGTATATCATTTGTATGAACATTCTTGCTTTTTTGTTTTTCAAACCAAGCTCTAACACATAGGTTTGCCTTAACAAGCTTTTCAATTTCATTTCTTAGCCAAGTGTTATCTTGCTTCTGACTCCATTCAAGAGATCTTCTAGGATATTATTTTCATCTTAAAAAGTTCTTTCTGAAGTAGCTCCACGGTTCCTTTTTAAATTGTTTTCAGCTAAATACAACTGTGCTGTAAATACAGCTGTACTGCATATTCCTAACTGCATAGAAGGTAGATCAAAACCACAAATTCAATAGATACTTTCAAACATAACTTTCAAGAAGAGGAAAAGTCTAAATAATTAAGAAATGCTACTACCTATATCTGAAAAGGGCAGTTCTTGTAAAGTACACAAAAATTTAACAAGTTCTATTAATTTTCAAAAGATAACATAATGAACTGCTTCTTTGAAATTGTGTTAAAAAATACTGACAACTTAAAAAGCTCACTAGATTTACCAGTTCTAAATGAGTTTGCATGCAACACATTTTGCTACCACTTACATCTGAGTGGCTATTTCTTCTATTCTTGCAGATCTGCAAAGTTTTACAAGTGAAATGAATTGTATTTCCTCTCTATAATAGCACTGGAGAACTGAAATGAGCAATGCCAAATTTAAAAGCAATGTCTTACATTTATAGATCTCAAAATATGACAAATCTTTCTGATGCATGTCAGTGCTCAGACTTTGCTGGTTTTCCTCAGACTAGACTTGCAGAAGGAGGTTACCTCTATCACCTCCACATTCTGATAAAAAGCCTTACAAGCACTCCATACTGTCAAGAACACTGTCATTAAAAAAAAAAAAAAAAAAAAAAAAAAAAAAACCAAACCACAAACAAAACCCCAACGAAGCAAATAAAAAAAAAAACCACAACATCAAAACCCAGTAAAATTGATCTTATGCAATGAAAGCAGTTAGTAGGAAAACTGTAAAAGAGTTCATAAATTTTTTCTTTAAAATCTTATAAGTTTAAGCATGGGGAAAACAAAACCCCAAAACACCTATTTACAGGATGAGAGTCTAAAACTCTCTCCAAACAAGAGCTTTAAGCATTCACATTGCATTGTTCCTTTATATTCAGAGTTGCTTGTGAAATGCTGAGGATGCAAGAAAATATGTGAACACTGTGGGATAAGCAATATGCCACTGGGATGTGAATAATGGAATATTATTTCATGTCTGGCATTCGGTTTAAGACAAGTGCCATTGGTGCAATGAGGTATGAAATAATACTTCATAATTCACACACAGGAGTGTCTTATTGCAACTATGATTTTGTTGTAAAGTATGATTTAATAAAAGATTTTGTATATGTTAAGAAGTGGCGTTTATAAATTACAACCAGTTCTTTTTCTGATCATTAGATCACTAAATTTCTACTGTCTATTTTTAGTGACAGTTAAGCATGTCTTATTAAAATATATTAAAATAATGCATAGACAATTATGGCTTTTAAATCTCTTTAAAAAAGCACTTCAAATTTTATGACCCTTTCAACGGTTACTTTTTTCCCTTTCTTAAAGTGTTTCTTTTTTTACTGTTTAATATTTATTTTTTAATAATCTCCAGTTTCATTTTTAATTAATTTAAGGCTTTTTTTCCTTGTGAATTACCTTTGTCTAACCAGGGGTATTGAGACAGTTCATGTCTCCATCTTTCTATAACTACATCTGTGTAAATGTATGATACTTAGGCTCAGTCTTGAGGCGGTAAATTAGCCTAAGTCATCAGCCTTCATTATTGACGTTATCATCTTTATCCACACCAAATTGACCAGTAGTTGCTTCATATTTCTTGAACTCGACTCTGAGTTCTGTCTCAAGTTTTCTTTCAGAGCTTTCCAGGTATTAATCCACAAAGTACTTCTCTCTATACATTCCGTATGTCTCCCCCCACTAGATTTGTTTCTGCTTATAGGTATATATAGAGAAAGAAAAGTGAGGCACTAAGGGATGTAACTCAAAATAGACAAATCCATGCTAACCAATTTTTTGTGCTTGAAGACTAGTTTGTATCTCTGTAAACTCCAGCCACTCTGAAGCGGCAAGGTTAGGGACTGAGAAACCAGGCTTATATGCAAAAGTTCAGCAAAGCCTGCAGGCTCTGAGAAAACTGTCACTGGAGGCTGAGGTCAAAGATTTAGAAGTTATACTTGAAGACTAGTCTTATACAAAACATGGTCTGTATAACATCTTGTGGGGGTGCTTACAGGGCTCACCTTTGGCAGATGGCCTGGAGAGCATTATTTAGGAATATGGGTGCAGACGCAGTGGGTGAAGGAAAGACAGCAAACTACCTGGGAGGACATCTGCCTCAAATGATCGTGTTGAAGTGGAAGGATGACAATCAATGGACTAAGCAGTTACCGGGGGATTACCAAGTGTGGGATTGTGTGGGTGTGAGGTGAGGAGAGTTATAACTTTAGTGGATTACCTGTAGAAGGGTGTTCAGAAATCTGTGTGTGTCTAGCACTGCACTTTATCGAAGGTCTTTTTTTGGTTGATGCTGAATGTATACTTCTGAGTCTCACATAATTATACCATTAATAAATGAAATGGCTTTATTCCTCATTTGATATGACTGCATGAATTTAGCAGTTTTTCCCTGATACATGATATAGAGTGTTCATCCACCCTCAATTCTGTCCAGCTAGCCTGGCCACGTGATCCACAACAACCAACCACAGGCAAACTTGACTGAGTCTGCTAGGCACTGCATCACAGCCTGTGAGGATTAAAGGGAAAGGAAATAATACATGCTAGAGGAATATCTGTGAGGAAAGGGGCACTGGGGGTGAATGAGAAGACAGAAGGGAAGCACCACATACGTGCCTAGGAAGGATTACAGGGTGGAGGAAGAAAAAATGAGATGAAAGAAAGGTTACAACAGGAAGGGAAAACAACAGTACTATGATAATAATTTTTAAATAGACATTTTTTAAAAGGGGATAAAAAAAGGAGATCTAATAATCTGTTACTCTTAATGGCTCATCTATTCCTTGAACTAGGCTTTCGTAGAATATTTGTGTATCTGAGAAAACCAATATACTCAGTCTTTACTAAGATTGTACAGATTCAGCTCAAAAGTCCTGTTCCTAGGGACAGCTAGGAATTTGTTTCTTTTCTGGTCTTTGAAGGATTCCATAGGAGAGGATCAGTCCTTGCCCTCAGAGAAACCCCCAATCCTGTTGATCCAGAGTGTCACTGATATTTGGTGATATAAAGTGTTATCGGTTTCCTTGGTCTCTATTGTCAAGTGTGAAAATACATGGATACTTGACACTTTTCACCAGTGATGAAGCACTGCTAACACGACTATAGTTTTCCTATTTGTGTCATCCCATAGACAAAATGCAACAGGTTAATTATAAATAGTTAATTCCTAACAGTTTCAGCTGTGTAAAATTACACTAAAACAGAACTTACATTCCAAATTTGTGAATTGAGATCTTGCTTGACTTCATGAGGATGTGTGTCTTGCTAGATTAAGTCCAGTTTTGTACATAAAAGGGGATTTTCTCTGGGATATTTAATTAGGTTGAATACACCTTGAATTAAAATAAAAATTCAAAGAGAATTAATTTATTCAATTCTATTTCTAGTCTTCAGGATTCCATTCTGATGAGTGTGGTCTCCATTAATATACTCTAGGGTTTGGGACTTGCGGGTACAGTTTCACTAAATTATCAGTAGAATTATGTGTTTGGATTCACATAATACATATCTTGCTAGAAAAAGTTCTTTCTGAAACTATGTCTTTATAAGCCTTAGAAGGACACATGAGGACCATTCAGCTGCTTCCTGACAAGCGTTACTTGAAATATTTCTTTACATCTGGAAATTTATGCACTAGCTTGAGCCGAAATGACAAGAGAGACCCCTGGGATATTCTTTGGAATACATTTTAATAGCACCGTTACATCAAGTTGTGCATTTAGAACAACATAATATCAGAATGATCACTAAACAAGGCATTTTTCATGCATGCAACATAGCAAATCCCTTTTAGATTGTGTCATGAGAAATAAATTTATTGATCTAAAAACTTTGGTAAATATTACATTGCTACATAAATTACATTTTCTTGTATTTTTCCTATTACAAAGGGAAGATAAAGAAGAACTGCTTTGAATAAAAGTGATAGAGTATAAATGAGGCAAAGTTACACTTAGGCTAAAGCTCTTTTGATTACCCAGAAATAAGTGACGAAATATTTCACTTAATGCACAATAGATATTGCAAGCCTCTGGTGCTTCTCTCTCCCAAGCAGACAGGGTGAATTTGTATTAGTCAGGGGATTTTATTCATTCACCTTATTTTAAATGCATAAGTTTGGAAAAACAGTATCTACAAGTCTTGTGAGGAGCTTTCGTCTGCCTCCTCATTCTTTAATTCTCATACATTTTAAATTAGAGCAGAGATGCTCTTATGTAAATTTCATTTAATTACATTGCAGTCTTTTGAATCTAATTGGTCATATTCAGT